CATGTTACAGTAAAATATGACATTCGAAGAATACTATAAAAAATTTCCACGAAGAAATATTAAAAAATACAGGAATGGCAGCAATTATTCGGACGTGTCTCGGAAAAAAAGTAGAATTTCGGTGCCCCTCATTACTTGGTGCTGGATCATCTGAAATCAAAAAATGAATGTTCATTTGTTAGTAAATAGTTTTTCTCAGGTAACGCTGTGAACGTTTTCTCGAAATTTCAATTTTTCACTTTGAAGGCTTAAATTAGCCGATTTCTTTTCTTAAAAATCGCGTTTTTCCGTTCAAAGTGTTCCAAAAAAGTGAAAAATTGAAATTTCGAAAAACCCCTTCCAGCGTTACCTGGGGGAGAACTATTAACTGACGAATGAGCTTTCATTTTTTGATTTCAGATTCAATGAAACTTAGTAGATTTATCCCTCAGATGATGACTTTGGATAAGTTAAAAGATAAGTAAAATCGGTCGATTAGTTTCGGATTGGGAGTTACACAGAAAATAAAGCCATTACACTGATAGAAAATTTATTTTGACTCAAGAGATATTTTTTTGATCTAAGAATTTATTTTGGAAGACAAATGATTATCTTGCTCTAAGAATTTCTTGTCTTGATTTAGATTTTCTTGGCTTAAGAGCTATATTATCTTCAATCGATACATTTAATAAGTTTTTCAATCAAAATAACATTATCGTTTAAAAAACTTAAAATAATTCATCAAAGTATAAATTAAAAACTAAATAGTCTTTAATTGTTATACCAAAAAAAAAATTATTTCTTAGAAATAAGTAAATTAATTAATTAATGACTCAAAAAAAAAGCCATTCTTAACACAAGTCGGTAACATCTTGAACCAATGTTATCTATCGCCTATCTTGAACCAAGAGACGAAAATTCTTGAAAGAAATATATCTATATCTAGTTTCAAGAGTTCAAGTTTTGAAGAAAATAAGTTTCTTGAATCAAGATTGTTTTTCTATCAGTGTAGGCATCCAAAATGGAAGTAGATTTCATTTTATTTCTGTGGACAAAATGACTGCAAAAGTAAAATTTCTTTAAAGTGATCCTAAGATGAATATTTTTTTATTTAAAAAATCATGTAAACATGTAAATTGAAGCTTAGTTTTCCAACTTTCAGATGCATTTTACAGAAATCGAACATTTCGACGCGTTCAAAAGTTATTTCATGAAGAAGAAGTAATGAGAGTATGAAATTTTTAAACTAATTGAACGATTGAGCTCATATTTGAACTTGACCTTCGTAATCGTCTATAAAATAAGTTTGTTAAGTTGTTACGTTTCATTAGAACCCTTTAAGATTTTCATGAGATCCCCATATGTATTTTCTGACTCAGCTCGTCGAGTTAAGTCGAAATATAGCAAAATTTTTGAAAATTTACGTCATAAAGACAAATAAAATAGTTAGATTTTTATGAAACCTACTGAAAAAACGATGATTGACAAACCTATTTTGAAATGATTAACCCGTAGTGGTCACACTTCTTAAAAATAACGTAGCGGTCATACTGGGTCTAATTGACCCCATGCACTGAAAAAATTGTTGCTACTTGCGTTCTTTTTAATATTTTCACTTGAGCCGTACATGAGAGTAATTCTTAACACTTCCGTTGACCAACTCAATCGTTTTTTAATTTTTTTTTATTAAATATTGAAGAAAATAATTAATCCTCGGAGTACACACCTCCGAACAGAACTTTAGAGAACACACGAGGTTAAATTGACCCCACTTGACTTTCAAAGAATATCTCAAAAACTTATGCATTTTATCGGAATTCATTAGGTTATTACATTTTTGGTAGGTGAAACAATGCTCTTTTGAATACAATAATTGTTATTCTGAATTCAATAGTTTTTAAAGTTGAAAAAATTAATTAAAAACGAACCTATTTTCGAGAAATATTTTAAAATAAAAAAAAATTATGGGCTCAAAATGACCCCCAGTGTACTCCGAGCCAAAGTCTCGACTAAAGTTTGTCCGCCATAAGAGCCCGTGTATAAGAAGATAAAAAATTTGATTTTTGGAATTTAATATCTAAGTAACTTTTAACGGTGAATTTTTTTAAAATTTTGGGATTAGATAAATAACGTATTTATTTATACGTATACTTGATTTCAAAGCTCAAAGTTGGAAATTATTTTTCACATTAGATTCGTTCGAACCTCATATCCTTAAGCCAAGAAATTTTTCTTAGGTCAACTTTTTTTTGCCGTGCATCTAAAAATTTTAAAAATGTATAAAATCACGATTTTAGTAACTTTATTCGCGAATAGCTATTGAATGGAAATATTTTCGAAATCGGGTCAAGCCGAAAGGGTTTTTTTTTTTTTTACAGATATTCCGCCACTAAATCATACTATCCGGAATTAAAGTTACAAAAAAAGAATCAACATCCTCTAACATAAACCCAAATCTGAAGAAAAAACAAATTAGAGGTAAATTTTTCAGCCAGTCTATGAAAAGAAGTGAAACACAATAAAAAGCTAATAAAGATTAATTTTATTGAAATATTGAAGCGGTTGTGCAGCCAACCTATCTCAACACTCAACTCAACTTCCAGCATGGCAGGAGGAACCTGAAAATGTTAGTTCCAGACCCATATCAAGCTTTTAATTTCCGTTGTACGACAACCGGGCTTACGCTAAAGCGCACAGATTACAATCTCAAATAAAAAATGAGATAAATTTTTTTCAACGCAACACAATAGAGAAAAAGTTTCGGTATCCTCGAATAGAAAACTAAAAAATCACCAAATCCTTCACCTACGTACCAGCACAGAGATTTTTTATGTTTGATAAATGGATTTTTTTAGTGAAACATAAATGCATAAAAATTGCCCAGAGATATTGAGCTTATATGTTCTTTTTTATTTATTCATGGTTGGATCGGCAATATTTTTGAATTTGAATACTGTAACACGCCCCTCAATTTGGAGTGCTTTATATACATCCGGGTATCAACCGAACAATATATATATATATATATATATAAAGTGAGAAGGTTACAGTATATAATATAGATCCTGAAGGGGCAGTACAAGCTCGGCGTAACATAAATTCACATCAACAGGCATCCTGTCAAATTAGGATAACGTTTACATTAAACCGAGCAGGCTATACCTACATGTGTTTAATACCCACCGTACACCATATATATGCTATGTATTATTATATATGCATGCAGGTTATAGCTTGATCAATATAGATAATAGGATATTGTATAGTAGATAGGTTAACTTCCCGAAAAAATTAATCTAATTTGCCTGGTTGGATTTTTTGGAGATGTATCAGATTGTCAATTAACATTCTGGAAAGTTGGAAAAAACGGGAAATTAAGATTTACAGCAGAAAAAAAGCACTAATCAAAAAATTAACCTTTTAACGGTCGACCTTGAATCCCTACTCCCAATTTCAATCGTCCGTCTTCTTCTTTAAGTAAGAGAGCTATAGTCTGTTTTGTAGAAAAGAGGCTTGAAAAATAGTAGAAGGGCCAATCCGTTACTCACACAGCCGTATAACGCATTATGATTGGTTTTGCCCCTTTCAGGCTCACACCAAGATTTCTCGAGACTCCAGAACGTTAAAGGGTTAACAAATAGAAAATATCTTAAATGTAGTAAAATTTACTTCAATTTTTAATCCGCAATGTCCCATAAGGCATATAAGTAGATTAAAAAATAAACTGAGTTTAAAAATTGATTTTTTCAGAAGTTATCGTGTTTACCCCTCTACGAAAACTTAAAAAATTTACACCAGCGATTAAAACTACTTTTTTACCTAAGAATAGCAGTTAATCCATTTAAAAATCGTTTTTATAATTTTTTTATAGCATAGTCTGGTGGAAGTACACTACCGCGCCACCTTTTGGTGATTTCGAACATCAAAAGAAAATACAATAGGTTGACTATAATCTCAACTGTGATCACTCCTCAAATAAATGGATGATTTTAAAAATAGTGATGCTGCCTTAGAAATATATTAATTATAATTAGTCAAAACAATATTGAGCTTTGATTCTCAAAAGGATTCTTTGCGTTAATCATGTGAAGGAATTGAACAAAAAATCGAGGTTAAAAATAGTATTTTTTAAAAGTTATAGTGTTTGCAAGCCCATGATTCTCTAGAAATTAACGCCGTAAGTCATTAATGCAGTTATTTTATACAAAAATCTTAATAAGCCGTGAAAAAATTTTCGGATTTGATCATATAAGGCCATATTAGCTTATCGATGGATATAAAAAAATTTTAAGAGACAAATTTAGTTTATTTCTTGATTAAACTAAAGGCCAATGTCAAATAAGCTTCTTAGGGAGTCAAAAAAAATGATTTTTATTTAAAAACTTAATATCTATGATTCAACTTTCTTGTAAGGAGAAGATTCCGCTGTCATTCGCCATCTGTCGGTGATTTCCAACACTACTTTTAGGTCAAAAAATTATTTATAGATATGGAATTAAATTAATTTCTGGTAAAGTTATTAAGAATTTAGGATTTCAACCTGATCCAGATCATATCCTTAAAATTTATAAGTATAAATTTTAATAAAATAAAAAATCTTTTTACTCTTTAATTAATTATTCTTTATTCAGTTACCAAAGAACATTATTAAATATTTTCATCATAAATACTTATAATTTCCACTAAAAAAGGTACAAACATTAAACATTAATAATTACAAATTTTGTATAAGTATCCCCTAAAAAAAACTAACGAAATAACGTATAGACGCGCTAAAAAATTACACAAGCTCATTACTTACCACTTTATTTTTATTTCTTCTTATATCTATTATTAATATATTTTAAAGAAATAGAAAAACAAAATTGCATTAGCACATTCTCTAAAAACGAAAATAGTGCGGCATTATTCTTAGCCTCAGCATCTTTGATATCCTTGTAAAAAAAAAATGAAACTAGATTTTGTCGAAAAAAAATTCAAGGATTTTGTTTTGTTAATCTCCTTTTTTTTTTTTTATTTTTCTAGACACAAGGTTCGACGTAATTGCCTGGAAAGAGTCCAGTTATTCCGTCCATAACACCCTCCCACCATCCGTCGTCATTCTTCTTCAGTACGTAGATAACGCAGCTCTCCTGGAAGCTTAATTCATCTTCTTTGTCGGCGTAGTAGTCATAAATTGCAACCACTGCAATAGTTAAGTCCAATTAGAGGGAATAAATTTTTGAAAGGGCGGAAAGGAGATGAAAGATAAGAGATAAGAGATGAGGAAAGAGGTGAACTAGTAAGTACCTTTCTCGATGTAATTTTTGGGAACCCAGCCAGGAAGATCATCCTCGTCGGGTACGATTGGCATAATGGCGCTAGACTGTGGCGGACGACCGAACTGCGGGTGCTCCTCGTGCTCCGGTGGCGGCGGTGGAGGCAAGGGAGGACTACTGGCACCGCTGCCACGGCTTAATTGGTGAGAGAGACGATGTGGTAATGTGTGGTGACCTGTAAATTCCCCCAAGTCTCCGCCGACGACCATTGGTGACGGTGGTGCTAAATTTATGATAAGCCAGTGGTTAGCTTTTTGCGGTCTTAGTTAGCTCATTTTTTAGGTTAGGGTGCTAAATTTCAGATATTTAGAGGTGGCGCGAGTTTTTTCTTGGCAAGTTAAAAATTATTAATTTTGTAATAAATTATTAGGAAAAAAAAAGATAAACATCACTAAATTCAAAATTCAAAGGTGCAAATTTTTCAACTTTGGTGATACAAATAATTTATCTGATAATTTAGTACTTGGTCCCGGGTATCTATTTGTAAATTACTGGGGTGGATTTTAAGCTTTAAAATTTCCCATAGTCAACGCATGCGCTTCAGTCGCTTTTTGTTTCGTGCAATTCGAGCGTTCTTAGTGAGCGCATAACTTTGGTGTCGCTTAAAGTTTTTAAATAAAAATTTAATAAACAATTGTCTTTAATTAATTTTATTGAGACTCTGAAGATAATTCCGGTTAGTTATAATAGTCTTTAAAATAGTCTTAACAATCTAATAATATTCCATCTTTAAAAACTTTAATTGTAATTTTTAATACTCCGTCAATAAATGTTTTTTTTTATAGATTGTCGATAATAAACTTCTCTATCCACGATAAAACCAATCAAATTTTATAATAAAAGCTATTTAAAAACAATAAAAAATATATTTATAAACTAATAAAAAATATTGTTTCCATCTACTCTTCCTAATTGTAAATTCGAAATTCTCTCAGTTAAAAGTCCTCGAAAATATTGTAAATAATAAAACACTCTATTATTTTTAACAATATAAATTAATTCAATTTCGCTAAAAGATCTATTTTTCTGTTAATCTATATTATTAAGAGAATAAGAAAAATTTTGTCTTCAGGATAGTCATATGATAAAATCGGTTTTTTTTTAGTGAAATTTGGTATCATTGCAAAGGTATTTACTTGAATTTGTGCCTTTTCAAGATTTCATATCATTCTCACCGATAGTCAATTTAGAATAAGTATTTAGGCGGCATTCGAAAATGCTCTATCTCTAGATACATAATTAAGAAATTACCTTTTATCTTGAGAACTATTGACATTTTTACAGATATAAGCTCATCCCGATGTTACACTCATCGAGACCTTTCATTTGAATACCAACATCAATTTTTCATATTTTATATATATATTGTATATATGTATATAAGAAAAATATCTCAAAATGCATGTGGGTATTCAAATGAAAGGTCTTGATGAGTGTAACATCGGGATGAGCTTATATCTTTAATAAACGTCAATAATTAAAGAAAGTACAGTGCAATTTAACAAAAGTAATTATTTAATAAAGCAAAATTTTATTTATTTATAGTTCTCAAGTCACGGCAGTCACATATAGTGACTGCAAGGCTGCTAGTTAATTATAAATCCGAAATTATTTATTTTAAATTCCTGTTTAAATAATTTTAGTTACTTTAATTGATTTCCGTGGGGTTGATTTTTCAATTTATTGAATAAAATTTACTAATAAGTAACGTCGAAAAAAAATTTTTTTTTTTAGTGCACAAAATCTAAAATTTTTCAAAATTCTCATAAAAAAATACAAATTAAACTTACGAGGCATATGAACTTCTTGAATATAAGACCCAGTGACACTAGGCGGCGCTGGAGGCGGCATCTGCGGATGACTCTGCAGCGGATGAACCGTACCAACTTGCGGAGACGCGGAATGGACGCTGTTGACGCTATTATTAAGCACCTGATTATTGTGAGCCATGGTGGTGGTGTGAGCATGAAGAGGCAGAGTGCTGTACCCAGGTCCTCTTTCGCGCCTGGGATGCCCAAGCGGATAGTTCGGCGCATAGTGACTCGGAACTTGCGGTGGCGCCACTGCCGGAGGCGTCCTGTACTCCCTGGAGCCTTTGCTGAGCGTCCCAGTCCTGGCTACCTGTGGCGGCGTTGGAGGTTTCGTCGTCGGAGCGGGTCCAACCATCGCAGCAGTGATTCCAGAGTTGGTGGAAGTTCCACCCAAACTTTGGACGCTTCCTTGGCTGCTACCGCGCTGTTTGCTTCTAGGAGTGCCTCCACTCCTCACCCCGTGGCCGATATCATCCAGCGTCGTGTAGTCGATGCTCTTGCGCACGTACTTGATAGGTTTCTCAGGGTTCGCCGGCGCGATAATTTTGTACTGTCTGGTGGTCATTTTATTGGCAGTCAGAACTCCGATCTCGCGGCGGGCGACTTTTTCTTTGTGGATCATCACCGTCTGGGCGATGTGGTTCATCTGGCTCTCCATCTCGTTCAGCTGCGAGGTCTGGAGGTCCAGCAGCTGCAGGAAGTTGTACGCCAGGGTGTTTATCTGGTAGGCGACGCTGGCCAAAGATTGGGTAGTGAAATTCTTTGTTTCTTCCAAAGCGATTCGCTTGTTTTCTGCCTGGAAGTAATTCGCCTCGCAGTACTCGGCCACGCGCTCCAGGTTCGTGTGACTGTCCGCCAAGTTGCTACGTCCTTCGGGTATGTCTTGGCGCAGCAGCGCCGCCAGTTCCGCCATTTTGGTGATCTTAGGCTCTGAAAGTTAGAAAATAGTTAGTAGATAGGTGTGTTATGATTTTAAGGTAGTTTTCATGGTAAGGGGGGGGGGGTAAAGTTAATTCGTACAAAAAAAAGCAGGTTTTTTGTGATTTTCTTGCGACGACGCAGTTAAAATCTCTTAATTAAAACTAATGGTACAGTAAAATATGACATTCGAAGTATATTATATAAAATATTCACGAAGAAATATTAAAAAATTAATTTCTACATTAAGTTCTGTAATATTTATATTTTTGCCACCCTAATGTCCGCTTTACTGTTTGAAACTATAAAAATTAATCGGGATCCGAGTGAATTTTACAGTTTACTTTTTTCCGTGTGGAATTGCGGTGCCCGTCATAACTTGGTGCTGGATCCAAAAATAATTCCTAATATAATAGCAACACCCTCAAGCAATCCCAGCTGTTTCTTCATTTGAACTTTATCATTTTTATCATCACCTTCACCAGCATTTAAAGCTTTCATTTCACTTTCAGCACTTGCACTTCCCTTGACCATTTTTTTCAAAAAATTTTTTAAATAAAAACAAAAATTCAAAAATATTTCTTCCCGCCTTTTTAAAATTTTCTATTTTTACAAAAAACAAATTAACAATTTTAATTTGTAATTACAATATTTTATCACAATAATTATTAAATCACATCTAGGTGGTCTATTTACTTGCCGCTTACAATATATACATAATAACAATATATTTATTTATACAAATATAATTTAAGATTGTTATTTAAATATTGATAGAAGAGTTAAGAACATTATCGATGTTTATCAAAAATAAACAACTAGATAAAACAAGCTTCATTGATTCAAATGATAAATTGAGTATAAAATTACATACACTATTTATATTTATATTTATATTTATGCCTATATATATCACGTTTTATTTAATACACGTGCGTCCGTTCGATAAGGCCGGATTTATGAACATGTATTGTTACATCATTATTAACCTCTCCGTTTAAAAAAATAAATACTAGCAAAAAAAAACATCTATACAAGCTGACAATAATAATAATAATACTAAGGAATATTCCATAATACATGTTTCATTATTTTCCGCTAGTGCGCAGAAGCGCGGGGGGTTGAAAATTTACGCGCGAAAATTTGAATTTTAAAAATTCTTTTTTGAATAATTAAAAACAAATGAATTAAATAAAAATAAATGAATTAATTTAAATTTCTACATGTCAATTTTTTTACGCTTTTTTTTTACTTAATTTATTTATTAAAAAAATTCTTGAAATGATCAAAAATATACTAAATTAATTATGAAAATGAAGTTAGCTGACATTTCAAAATTTTGAGAAATTTTTTATTGAAAAAGTTTCAATTAAACAATGAAAAAAAAAAAATTCACATGTAAAAAACTTGAAAAACTATAGGTGCAATTTATTAAAACTATCTTTTTAGTTGTATTTTAATTAATAAAAAAAATCAAAAATTTTTAGACGTCTGCTAACTTCAGGGTCATAATTAATTTTCATTTATTTAAAAAATAAATTAGCTTGAGAAAATCATTTTTGAAAATTTGCATTGATTATTTTTTAAAGCTTCTAGAGATGGAATTTTTTCCATAAGTTTTTCTTACTATAATTTGTTTAAAAAATTCTAGAAATTATCAGATGTCTCAATTTCAGCAACACAAAAATAAGCAACTAAATTTGAACAGCAAAATTATGATTTTTTTGAAAAATTTTTATTGAGAATACAGAAATTTTCCAGTAGAATCTTTTCTTAATTAAAAAAAATTCTAGATTATTTTACATTGATTTTTTATGACAAAAAAACTGGAAATATTTCAAAAACTATCAAATTTAGGAGAAAATTAATAAATAAGAACCTTTTTAAAAAAAAAAAAAAATTTCCTAACAAAAAAAGTCTGTTACAATTTTTCAAAATCTCCAATAATTTGGCCACAAATAAATTTACAAAATTTTTACCCCTTAATTTTTTAGTTTCAGCAATAAAATTAATAATTGAAAAAATATTTTTTAATTTATCAAATTATTTTACTGTAAAATCACTAAAAAATTTTGATAACATTAAAGTTAGCAGTCACTTGTTAATTTTTAAATTTTATTTAATAAAAAAATTGCATTTATAGTTTTTTAAAATTCCTACAGGTCAATTTTTTTTGCCATAATTTAATTGTTAAAAAAAAATTCTATAAGAATTATTAAATAGCTGCTAAACTAAACAAAAATTAATTTTAGAAGATATTTGATAGTTTTTATAATTTTGTCAACAAATAAATTGGAGCAAAAAAAATAAGAAAAAAAAATTGATATGTAGAAATTCAAAAAAATTAAATATGCAATTTTTTAAAAATAATTTTCAGAACAAATTTATTTGTTAAAAAAAACTTAAAAAAAAAAAACAAGTGACTATATAACTTTAATGTCATGGTAAATTAAATGACATTACAATTAGCAGTCATTAGAGAATTTTTTAATTTTTTTTAACAAAAAAATTGCATTTATTGTTTTTTAAAATTCCTACAGGTCAATTTTTTTTTTGCCATAATTTATTTGTTACAAAAATTTTTAAAATTATTAAATATCTGCTAAATTTATTTTCATGACATTAAAATTAGCAGTCATTAGAGAATTTTTTAATTTTTTTTAACAAAAAAATTTGCTCAAAAAAATTATTTTTAAAAAATTGCATTTTTAATTTTTTTTAAATTTCTACATGTCAATTTTTTTTTCTATTTTTTTTTGCCATAATTTATTTGTTACAAAAATTATTAAATATCTGCTAATATAAATTAATGTTCATGACATTAAAGTTAGCAGTCACTAGAGAATTTTTTAATTTTTTTTAACAAAAAAATTTGTTCCAAAAAATTATTTTTACAAAATTACATTTTTAATTTTTAAATGTCAATTTTATTTTTCTAATTTTTTTTGCCATAACTTATTTGTTACAAAAATTATTTAAATTATTAAATATCTGCTAAATTAATTTTCATGAAAATAATTATCATAAATTTTGACTTTCCCCCTCCAATTTTGCCTATTTTGCCTTGTGAGATATTTCCCCAAAAAAATCCCAAGAAAATTCCCTAGCGCTAGGGACTTTCTTAAAACCGGGAAGAAATATTTGTTATTCCCGCCTAGAGATGGCGCTTTAGTGCCGCGCGTCATCTACCACACTTATGCACATGTGTATAGTATATACAGAACCAGAAAAAGATATATAACATATATCTGTAGATATATGTTATGGATTTAATATTTACACTGACAAATATTAATTACAATAAATACAAATAAAATAGTTAATTAGAAGAAATAAATAATTAAATACGCGGTCATCTGTACTGCTGGTGTACACACATCAATTGAGGAATAAATATATAGATAGTTAATAGTTATTATTTTTAGGTGAGTACTTTTGGTAATATGTAACCTTAACCTCGCGGGTAATCTAAATTAAATCTGATAAATAATAACGTTATTTAATACTATTATTTTTTAGGTTCAACTTTATGATTGTCGCACGACGGAATTTTTATATATAAATCTAAATTATTTTAATGGGTTTGTAAAATTCTGGCATGGCAGCTAATCCGTACAAGGCAATGGCTCATGCTAAAGTCAATGATAATTTTACCATTAATTCCAATCAATTTATATATGTCACTAAAACTGAATTGCAAGAGCATGAAAATATGGTAAGATTTTTTCTTTTATTTTTATTATTTTTATTCAACCGGTTTTGTTTTTTGGAGTTTGAATTTTCCCGCTTAAACAATTTTTTTAGGGAATTATTATTCTCCTGGAATTTTTTAAAAATTTTTTAAGTATCAAGAAAAAAATTTTATTTAATTTTTAAGTTACATTTTTTTTATTTTAGAAGAAATATTGTTTAGATATTGAAAATTTTAATTTTTTATCAATAATTATTTGCAGAAATTTTTATTTTGTCACAATTTAATCTCAGATTTTTGGAAAAAATATTCAATTTTTAAGAACTATTTTTTAAAAAGTTATAAATTGAGAAAAATTATAATTTTTTAGAAAAAAAAAATTATTAAAGTTGATTTTTCTTTAATGTCAATTTTTTTTTTTTAATTTTGTTAATATTTAATCATCAATAATAATTTTTTTTATTAATTTAAAATAATTAATTATTTTTTTAATTAAAATTAATAATTTTCTTCAAAACAATTTGTTTAATTTTTTTGAAATTAATAATTTTTATATCAAGTGTTAAGTAAAAGTTTTATAAAGTATTCACTTATAAAATTAATATTTCAGACAATTTTTTATTTTTTGCTAAATATTAAAATTTTTTAGTAATCAATATAATATAATACAATATATTGATAAGTGTAACATCGGGATGAGCTTATATCTTAAAAAATGTCAATAGTTCACAAGATACAATGTCATTTCTTAATTATGTATCTAGAGATAGAGCATTTTTGAATGCAGCTTAAATATTTTTCATAATAAATTGACTGAGAATGATATGAAACCTTGAAAAGGCACAAATTCAAATCAAGACCTTTGCAATGACTAAATTTCGATAAAAAAAAACCTATTTAATCATGTGGTTATCCTGGAAATAAAATTTTTCTTATTCTCTTAATAATATAGATTGCAAAACTAATAAAAAATAAACCAACTAAATTTTCCAGGAAACCAGCGACTTCGACCAACAGGAAGAGCAAATCTACTTCGAGGGTAACTCCTCAGCCAAGCCCTCCGAAGAAGACGACTTCGACCCTGACATAAACTCCCTAATCCGAATAAAGCAAGAATGGACCGAGCCGACTGCACGTGGTCTGAAGCAAGAGCAGGAGCTGGACTACGAGCTCGAAACCCCGAATGCCGAGGAAGAAGAAACCGTGGAAGAAGAAGAGTTCGAGTGGGAGGAATCCGAGGAACCCGAAGAGCGAGTAAAGACCGAGATAAGCCAGCCTTCCGAAGAACAGGATCCTGATGAGCAAGATCACGAGTCCGACGAAGAAACAATAGCGACCTTTCTTACCGCCTCCGGAAAGCAATTGGCTCTCTACGCAGTAGAGGACTCTGACGACGTTTTCGCAGTGGCGGCTTACGACGGTTCCGGGAACTCACCCAACCAGTTCCAGTTCCTCTTAAAAGCCGACGTAGAACGTCTAATCGGGCAAGGAGCCGTTAAAACAATCAAGAAACCTTCCTCGATAAAACAGCAAACTTACCTAGGCGACACCACCACCATCTTGCGGAACAACCGCGCACTAAAAGAAGAAACCACTGAAGTTCCTTCCCCGACTTACGAGCTACACCAGCCTGATCATCATCAGGAGTCCAATGACCGGAACATGAAAGAGGAACAGGATGATGATCTAAGTTACCAACTGATGGAATCTCAGTCGGACTCTTTTGAAGTTATCGACCGAGCTTCCATGGATTCCGCTTGTTCCATCAGTTCAAAATCCGAGTCTACGTCCAAGAGTCCTGGAGGCGTAGTTACAGCTGAGAATCTTTTATTCCATGAAGAAGAATCCGAATCTGAGTTAACTTTTGATGACATTAAGTCAATTGACTTCAATGTTGATAAATTAAGTCAAAAAAAATTGGATAAAAAGTCAAGTTTTATTAAATCAGAACCTTCAATGGAAATTTCAAAATCTAGTTCAATGGAGGTTAAATTAAATTCCAGTTCGATGGAAATGGAAATTGGCTCCAGTGGTAAAACAGTTTCTATGAAGTCTAATTATAAAATGGACCTTGAATCTGGATTTTCAATTAGAACCAATTCAATGGACACTTTTAAGTCAATATCAGACCTGATGGACACAAGGTCTAATTCATTAAAGTCAATCTCCAGTCGGACGCTTTCATCAGAAGTATCTAATCCAGGGAATAGATCCAGTTTCATGGAAGTAGAATCTAATCAGATAGAATCAGATTCAATGGATCTGGCTGACAATTCTTTTGATGAGTCTACTTTGATGGAGGTGGACAATTCTTTGGTTAGGTCTACAAGTGGACCCAAGGCTATAGACTCAATAAGTGGGTTTAATAAATCGAGGTCGATACTAAGACGCACATATCAAATTGTCAAGTCTCAGGACAAAGAAGTTAGCCAGTTATTGGGAATTAGCCCTGCGTCTATCTCCCCACTCTCCTCGCCTGATAAAGTCAAGACTAAGCAGACTAAGCGCGCCAAACACATGCCGCGCGCTCTGTTGGGCTGCAAGACAAACACTTTTGACTCGGCTGCCTCTACAGTTATCATCCACGGGTCTACTGCGCTTATTTGCTGTCCGATTCAGGCGGTAAAGAAGGCCAAGGACAGAGAGGAGGATAATCCTGATGGAAAAATTGAAGTTGTTATGAATGAAGAGAAGGATAAATTGGTTTGTAAATTGAAAAGACCACCGAGGAAGCAACAGTTGAAGATAAATGATAGAGCTGACTCGGAGATTATTATCCAACCGGCGGTAATAGAGGAAACTGTTGAAGAAGAGGTGCCGGCTGTTCGTAAAAGAGGGAGAAGAAGAAAAAATAGAGATGGAAAGCGATTGGAGGAGGATGATAAAAAGGGGAAGGAGGGCAGGTCTAGGAGGGGGAGAAAGAAGAAATCTAGGATTGAAGTTATTGAATTGGATGAAGATGATGGTGTCGCGAGACATATTGAGGAGATTACTATTGATGAAGCTAAGGAGAAGGGATCCAGTGATAAGGAGAATGAAATTATTATGCTGGAGTCGGAGGATGATACTGCTGAGGAAGAGGAAGAAGAGGAGGAGGAGGAGGAAGATGATGAGCCTTGGAAGTGTAAGTTTTGCAGGAGAAGCTTCAGGTTGAAGAGAGCTATGGACACTCATGCTCGTGTCTGTCCGAAAAGTCCGAGGAGAGTTGATAAAGGGGGAAATGAGGTTAAGGAGAAGAAATATGTTTGTAAAATTTGTAAAGAGACTTTTGATGTTGTTGTTGCTTTGGCTCGGCATACTAGGATGCATTATAAGAAGAGTGTTGTTGAGAAGCCTGAAGAGCCTGAGGAGGAGGAAGAGGAGGAAGAGGAGGAGGAGGAGGAAGAAATTGTTGAGGAACTTGAGATGCTGATTGAGGAGGAAGTTGAAGAGGAAAAAGACGACGAGAAAGAAGAAGTTAGGGAGGTTAAGAAGAGAAAGAGGGTTGGGAGCTTTCATAAGAAGCTTAGGTGCATGGAGTGCAGGAAGTGGTTCAATAGCATGGCGCTGCTTACTCGGCATTATTTGAATCATGATACTAAGAATACTGGTGAGTTTTTTTCGTTAGAAAAATTGAGAAATTTCGAGGGTTAGATTAGAGATAGGGGAAATTGTAGGATATCTTTTTTGTAGGAATTTTATTTTGGATTTAAAAGGTGTCTTGTGAGTTTTTTGTATTTTGCGTGCGGTAGATAAATAACATATTAATTGTTACTTGCTAATATTACTGTTGCACATTTTTAATGGATAGATATTATATCAAAGAAATTAAAAATCAATTTAAAAATAATTTTCATTATAAATTCAGTTCATCAAATTGTTAGGTTATTTCTCTGAGTATTTTTCACGTAGAGTCAAGATGCGCGCGCATGTCCCATGCTTCTCCGTATGGTTCAATCGTCCCCGGGACTGCTGCTGGTTCAACTGACCCCATATAATTTTAAAACAATTGATAGTAAATAATAAATAAATAAACTATTATATCACTATAAACAAAATTGAGTATTATAAAGTATAAGTATATACAAGTACTATAATTCAAACTTTATCAATTAATTCAAAAATTGAAATATTATTGAACAATTTGTCACCAGCGGAAAAAAAAATTTACATGCCTAAAAATAAGAAAATCTCAATTTTTCAAAGTTTATTAATCGCAATGATTTCAAATTTTGATCATATCCGATTTTAATATATTAGAATCTAATTCTAAGAGCATCAAGTTTTTTTTTCAATTTTTTCGCCACTTGATATTTTAGTGAATTTTTATAAAATTTATAAATTAGTACATTTATACGAATTGAATTTATAAAGTCTTGCGCTTATAGAAATATTTATACAATAATTTAAAAGTAAAGTGGCCAAAAAAAGTACACTGGCCACAAATGGTACTTCTACCCTATTTTTAAAGGAATTTTGGAGCGAAATTTAATGAAACGGATTGAATGAAAATGTTGAAAAGAAATTTTGAAGTTTGAACTTTGGGTTTAATATTGAAGATATAGAAACATTATGAGACCTTTTTTTGTGGGGAATTTTATTTTCTAGAAAAAAGATATTTTATGATTTTTTTTTTATCTTTTGTATTTTATCCAGAATTTTGAATTTAAAAAATTTAATTATCAAAATTAGATATCGAAATTTTTGGTTATAATACATTCTCACAAAAAATTAAAATTTTGAGTTAAGGATTAAAAAATTGAAGAAATTTTGAAGTCTTAATTTTGGGTTTAATATTGATGATATTGAAAAATTATGAGACCTTTTTTTGTAGGGAATTTTATCTTATACAAAAAAGGTATTTTACGATTTTTTTTGTATTAGCCAAAATTTTGAATTTAAAAAATTTAGTTATCGAAATTTCTGGTTATAATACAATCTTATAAAAAATTAAAATTAAAAATATGGAAAAATAGTAGAAGATGTTTTTGGTAGGAAATTTTATTCTCTGCAAAAAAGGTTTTATATGTTTTTTTCGTATCCCATATTTTGTCAAAAATTTTGAATCAAAATAAATCAAATGAAAAAATGATCAAAATTGTGAATTAAATATTGAAGATACATAAAAATCATAAAAGACCTTTTTTGTAATAAATTTAATTTTCTACAAAAAAGTATCTTATAATTTTTTTGTCCAAGTAGCAAATTAAAATTATTTGAGGTTAAAGTGGTTATGTTTAAAAAATATAACCTCAATTTGAACAATGGGATAGAAAATTTTGATAAAAATCTCCGAATTTTTTAATTTGAATAGATTTATAATAATTAAAAGTGAAATTAATCAAAAAATTTTGAATATTTACAGATCGACAAATGAAATACTGCTATATATGCAGAAAACTAGTAGAAAACAAAGCGCAGTACTTGCGCCATATGCAATTACATATGACATCACCGAAGAAACTATCTAAAGATAAAAATCCAAATTCAACCGGAAAATCCAATTCAAAATTAAATTCACACAAAGAAACATCACCGGTTCAGTCGAAGAAAACAAAATCACCTGTAAGAAGAATCACTAGATCGTCGAAAAATTCAGCATCTACCCCTACGTCAGCGCCATCTATTTCTGAACATGAAACTAAAAAACCATTAGAAAAAAAAGTAAATAGCAAAAAATTTTCATTAAGAAAAAGTAATCGGCAAAAAAAATTATGATTTGTTTTACTTATTATTATCGATAATTATAATTATTATTATTATATCTTGAATAACTATTATAATTATTAATATAAATATGATATGTTTTTTTTTTATTAATTTAAGTCCCAAAGTAATGTTCAATGCTTAAAAATAATAAATTGTTATTTTACAATATAAAAATACCATATGTATCTTAATGTAATATAAATTAAAATAATAAATAAATAGATTAATCATTTTTATGAATGATAATTATCATTAATTAATAAATTTAATCATTTTAATGATTTATTGACAGCGGGCTTTTCACGCAATAAAAAAAAAAGTTATTTGATGGAAAATTGTAATCGTAATTTTATTACTTCAAATTAGTCATAAATTTCATTAAATTTAAGAAATTTTAATTTTCTTATTGAACTTGTGAAAATTAAACTTGTGTTATTAATTACTTTTCAATAATGTATTGTGTTTTTTTTTTTTTTTTTTTGTAAATAGTTTTACCATAAAACATTAAATAAATTGAAATAAAATTTTTTTTAGTTCTATTATTTTTAAAATAATTAATTCAGCTTATTTTTATCAAGAAGAAATCATTAAGGAAGTTCGAGCGTAACTTATGAGTCAAAATAATGTTAAAATTTTTTTTTACTTTCAGTCTTCTCAATATTCGTCAAAATTGTCTATTTTAATTTAAAATAATTTAATAATTGATAGAAAATAATTAAAGTCTCGACTAAAGTTTGTCCGCCATAAGAGCCCGTGTATAAGGAGATAAAAAATGTGATTTTTTAAATTTAATATCTTAGTAACTAAACGGTGAATATTTTTAAAAATTTTTAAATTAGATAAATGACGTATTTATTTATACGTGCATTTAATTTCAAAGCTTAAAGAAATTATTTTTCACACTAGATTCACTCGATCCTCTTTAAAATAACTAATTTGTTTTTCTATAAACAAAATGTCGGTTTTAAAAATCAAAATGGTGGATTTTAAATATTCCCGCCAAAAATATTGAGAGTGACGCGCTTTATTATTATGATTGGATTTTGAGGTTAGGTTTTTTGTTTGGGTCATTCTTTTAAGTTGATATTTTTTTAGTTCTCCGTAAGTTTTTTAGCATTATTAGTCATATTAAATTTTTTAATTTCTGTAAAATAATTTCTATAAAAAATTAAACTTTTGTACAATACAATAATTAAAAAAAAAATGGATTTTAATTCACAAAAACATAAAAATCACTCTAAAGAGGTTAAAAAAAGTGTGGAAGCGGCTTTTGATGATGATGAAGAAGATATTTATCAAGATGTGGAGATGCTTGAAGAAGAATATGAAGATGTAGAGATACTTGATGAAGAAATTGAAGAGATTAAAACGGAGAGTGAGAAAATTAGTAAAGTAAGAAATAAATTTAAGAACTCTGGAATTGTCAAGTTGAAGTTCAGGTGTAATGAATGCCGGAAGTGGTTCGGTAGCATATCTCTGCTAGCAGCTCATTACTTGAAGCATGATACTAGAATTACTAGTAAGTGTTAATATTTTTAGGTTAATTTTTTTTAATTTGAAGAAATTTTAGCATTAAATTTGATGATAGAAAAATTTATATAAATAATTTTTATTTCAGATATTGAAATGAAGTATTGCAATATATGCAGAAGAGTCATCAGTAGAAAATGGAAGTACTTGTACCACATGCAATTGCACTTGTCGTCTTTGAAGAAAACGTCAAAAATTAAATAAGTTTTCTTTTTAGTATATAATAAAAAATTTTTTTCAATTTCTTCTTTAGTAATTTTTTTTAAATTAATAAAAAAAAATGCTTTTAATCTTTATTTTAAACATGGGAAGAAATAAATAAAATTTAGAAGAAATGAATATTTATAAAAAAAATTTGTACATCTTAATTTTCTTTTTTATAATTAAAAAAAAATGTTTTTTTCTTTAAAAATAATTGTTTTATAATAAAAATGAATTTTATTTAATTATTGTTTAATTTTTTTACAAAAATAAAAAATTTTAAATTTTAAATTACAAAATGGCCTTTGGCGGGAAAAAAGTAAAATGGCGGACTTGACCGCGCAGTAAGTAAGCGTCCCGCCAAAAACGTGCTGAGCGACGCTTGGGTTTGTTATTGTGATTGTGATTTTGAGGTTGTGCGGTTGTGCCTTTTTTTTTATACAAGATATTAAAATAAATTTCTAATTATTTTTATACAATTACAAGTTTTTTTTTTTACCTAAACTAATTTAATTAATATAAATTTTTAAAAAATAGTGTAAAATAATATTAATAAATAAAAATAATGGATTTAGCCGATTTACAAGTTCGTCAAAACCGGGTTAAGGATGACATTGGAGTACAGTGTCAGAAATTATTCCAAACATTTCTTGAAGAGTAAGTTTTTTTTTTTTAGTTTTTCTTTAAAAATTTATGAAAATAAAGTTGGCTGATATTTCAAAATTTTTAGAAATTTTTTATCAAAAAAATTTTAATTAAACAATTAAAAAAAAAATATCACATGTTAAAAACTTAGAAAACTATACGTGCAATTTTTTAGAAATATCTTTTTAGTTGTAATTTAATTAAAAAAAAAAAAAATCAAAAATTTTTAGACGTCTGCTAACTTCAGTGTCATAAAAATTTATTTACATTTATCAATTTATTAATTGAGTGTAATTTTTTAGATTTAAAGAAGATGATGAAGTTAAATATCTGGAAGCGGCTAAGGAACTCGTGAGTCCTGAGAGGAGCACATTGGTGGTGTCATTTGAAGATATTGAAAAATATAATCAAGTTTTGGCGACGACTATTATTGAAGAGTATTACAGGTAATTTTTATTAATTGTTATTATTATTTAATTTAAATGCCAAGACAAGTCTAGCCAAATGGCAAAAGTATGCAAGAAAGAATACTATAATAAAGTACACGTATAAATGATAAAAATATAAAATTTTAAATTGTAGATATTAAAAATATCTTTTTTTTTTTTTAATTTGGAATGTAATTATGAAAAATACAAGTATGAATTTAAATATAAGAATTAAAAGTATTAATTACTTTTTTTTGCTCTTATTAATTTTTTTCAATCATTATATGTGGAATTTTTTTTAATTATTCAATTTATTAAAAAATATACAAATTTTTTAATAATTATGAAAATTGTTTAAAATTCTACATATCACAATTTTCAAAAATTATAGATGCAAAATTTTCATTTGAATAATTTAATTTCTAAAAAAAATCTAAAAACATTTTTTTTGTAAATAAGTTACAATAGTTTTTTTTTTTTCTCAATTTTACATGTAGAAATTTTTAAAAATTATGAATACAAATTTTTTGCCTAATCGGAAAAAAGTTTAAAGTTATGAAAAATTCATATTATATCATTAAAATTATTGTAAAATAAAAATAATAATTTACAAATCTGAAATAATATGAATTTTTCATAACTTAAAAATTTTTTCCGGTCTACTTTTTCCGGGATTCAAATTTTTTTTTATAGAAATTTAATTTTCATAAAAATCTAGAAAAAAAAAAAATTATTACAAAAATTAAAACAATGATAAATTTATATTTCTTAAATAGTATTTTTCGTCTTATTTTTTAATCGATTTAAAAAATAATAAAATTTCTGCTAATTTTACTATTATTAATTAATAAATTTTTGTCACAGAATTTACCCATTTTTATGTCAAGCCGTTTGCAATTATGTAAAAGATACCGGCGAACTTCGAAAAGAAAAAGAATGTTATGTCAGCTTGGTCGATGTACCAACCAGACACAGGCTCCGTGAACTAACGACGTCCAAAATCGGGACGTTGATTAGGATCTCTGGTCAGGTTGTCAGAACACATCCAGTGCATCCTGAATTGATTCTTGGGACATTTGTCTGCGTTGACTGCAACGCTGTCATAAAAAATGTCGAGCAGCAGTTTAAGGTAAATTTTTTTATAATCCTGAAATTAAAAGATAATTAACATTTTTTACAACAATTAAAATATTATAAAAAAAATTTGTATTTACGGTAAATGCACCAATTATTGACCGATTAAGGTTTTCTTTTTCTGTACTAAGCTATAAAAAATCTATTAACCTATTAAAAACAATTTGTAATGGATTTTATTAAAGTTAAATACTTAATTAATAATAATTAATAACTATTTATAATCAAAATTAACAAAGTTATATTAATTTTGTTATTTGAATGTTGAAATACTAAAATCACCAATTATTGACCGAAGAAACCCAATAAATGACCGACCGTTCTCCAATTAATTCACCGCTCAAATAATTATAAGTAATTTTGTAAACTACATGTATGTAATTAAATTTATGGAGTACTTTTGAAGTATTAACGACATCTTTAACAAAACTAAACATACAATATAATTTTAAACCGTACTTTTTTATAAAATAATATAAATAATAGCAATAATTAACATAAAGTCACATTTCTTTAGGTCACAAATAATCACAAATTCATTTTGATGACGATAATTCTTCTGATTCACTTGAAATTTTTTTATTCTTCTCCTTCTTTTTTTCAATTAAAGCTTTTTTACTAGCTTGTAACTCTTTTTTATTTTTTTAATTGCTTAGCAATTTTTTCTTCTAATAATTCGTTCTTTGATATAACCGTTCACTAAAAAAATTACAACAAAATAAAATTTAATAATAAAAAAAGATTTTAAGTATTATTTTAAGTATAAATATACATTTTATAATGATTATCTTTATATTTACAAAATATTTAATGACTAAAGTACTTTAAACACTTGACAAATTTAATTTTAAGGTTGAGAACTGCTGCTGCTGCTGCTGCTGCTGCTGCTGCTGCTGCTGCTGCTGCTGCTGCTGCTGCTGCTGCTGCTGCTGCTGCTGCTGCTGCTGCTGCTGCTGCTGCTACTGCTGCTGCTGCTGCTGCTGCTGCTACTGCTGCTGCTGCTGCTGCTGCTGCTACTGCTGCTGCTGCTGCTGCTGCTGCTACTGCTGCTGCTGCTGCTGCTGCTGCTACTGCTGCTGCTGCTGCTGCTGCTGCTACTGCTGCTGCTGCTGCTGCTGCTGCTACTGCTGCTGCTGCTGCTGCTGCTGCTACTGCTGCTGCTGCTGCTGCTGCTGCTACTGCTGCTGCTGCTGCTGCTGCTGCTACTGCTGCTGCTGCTGCTGCTGCTGCTACTGCTGCTGCTGCTGCTGCTGCTGCTACTGCTGCTGCTGCTGCTGCTGCTGCTACTGCTGCTGCTGCTGCTGCTGCTGCTACTGCTGCTGCTGCTGCTGCTGCTGCTACTGCTGCTGCTGCTGCTGCTGCTGCTACTGCTGCTGCTGCTGCTGCTGCTGCTACTGCTGCTGCTGCTGCTGCTGCTGCTGTCTGAGTCTCCACCAACAAACGAGTTTTGTAGATCTTGGATCTGCTGGGTGGTTATGCCAAGACCGAAAACCCCTTGGCTCCTCTCAAGAATATCCTTTAATCTTAGATAATGATGGAATGCTCTGAAAAAATTTATAAATTTAAAATCACATTAAAAATCGAAGCAAAAAGGATGATTATTCTAAATTTATAACATTCCAGATATATCTTTTTAAAGATAAATAAATTCATTTTAATTTAGTTCTAATTTATTATTAAAAGTCTATTAGGGTAAATGTACCAATTATTGACCGATTAAGGTTTTCTTTTTCTGTTCTAAGCTATAAAAAATCTATTAACCTATTAAAAACAATTTGTAATGGATTTTATTAAAGTTAAATACTTATTTAATAATAATTAATAACTATTTATAATCAAAATTAACTTAAATTATATTAATTTTGTTATTTGAATGTTGAAATACTAAAATCACCAATTATTGACCGAATAAACCCAATAAATGACCGACCGTTCTCCTAATTAATTGATCGCTCAAATAATTATAAGTAATTTTGTTAACTACATGTATGTAATTAAATTTATGGAGTACTTTTGAAGTATTAACGACATTTTTAACAAAACTAAACATACAATATAATTTTGAATCGTACTTTTTTATAAAATAATATAAATTATAGCAATAATTAACATAAAGTCACATTTCTTTAGGTCACATATAATCACAAATTCATTTTGATGATGATAATTTTTCTGATTCACTTGAAATTTTTTTATTCTTCTCTTTCTTTTTTTCAATTAAAGCTTTTTTATTAGCTTGTAACTCTTTTTTATTTTTTTTAATTGCTTAGCAATTTTTTCTTCTAATTATTCGTTCTTTGATATAACCGTTCATTAAAAAAATTAGATCAAAATAAAATTTAATAATCAAAAAAGATTTTAAGTATTATTTTAATTATAAATATACTCTTTATAATGATTATTTTTATATTTACAAAATATTGAATGACTAAAGTACTTTAAACACTTGACAGATTTAATTTTAAGGTTGAGAAGTTAGTATTATAAATATACGGTGATTAATTGGATTGTGATAAAATCAGAGGGTCTAATAAATGACCGAATGAATTTTTTACTGGGTAAAGGGCTTCTGACGGATCCAATAGTTGACCGGTCTTAAAATAATATCAAAACTTATAATTTAACTTTATTTTTTCAATAAAGTTGGAATCTGATCTTTAATCAACATAATAAAACGAAAATATTTTATATTATGCCGATAAATATCACTAAATTAATGATGAAATGCACTCACTCTTTAATGGTACGGTAGTTATTTTTGACCGCTTTATGGCTGGTTGCGTTGTAAACAAACTCAGAATATTTTTTTAAAGCTATAATCACTGCGCAATTAATTGCGTAATTTTTTATTATGATGATTAAATGCCATATTTTTTTATTTTAATACTTTAAGAAAAAAAAAACCCTTGTAAAATATTAATTAATTAACTTTTTTATACATCGGTCAACTAATTGGTGACCGGTCAACAACTGGTGCATTTACCCTATTATCTTTAAATTCTAAGACAAAAAAATATTTTTAACAATTCTTGTAATATTTTTTTAAATTTCTACATGTGAAATTTTTGTAATAAATTTTTTTTATACTAATTTAATAATTATAAAAAATGAAATAATTAAAAAAAATTATTTGTTTTTTTTAAATAATTAATTAACAAATTTATTTGATAATTTATTTTTGCAGTTTACTAACCCAACAATTTGCCACAACCCAGTGTGCTCCAACAGACGCAGATTCGTATTGGACATTGACAACTCTGTGTTCGTTGACTTTCAAAAGGTCAGAATTCAGGAAACGCAGTCAGAGTTGCCCAGAGGGTGTATCCCCAGGTCGCTGGAAGTTGTCCTGAGAGCTGAAACCGTCGAAACTGTTCAGGCTGGTGACAGGTGAAACTTTTAAAAATCAGTTTTTTAATAAAAAATTTTCAAAATTTTTTTTTTATAATTTTGATTACAAATCTTGGTCGCTTTTTTCCTCCTCTTTCCAACAAGTACCTACAAGATGGTCTTCAAGCCCAGGAGCTGCTTGAGATCCACCTTTTGCAAACTTTCCTAAATTCAGATTTCCGCTTAATCCTCCAGAAGTTTTCCAATTTTTCTTAAAAATAATCATTAAGGAGCTTTAAAGTTACTAAAAATTTCCAGGTACGACTTCACCGGGACCCTGATCGTCGTTCCAGATGTGGGACAGCTGAACCTCCCCGGGGCGAAAGCAGAAATAGGCTCCCGTCACAAGGCTGGTGATCAAGGCGAAGGTCTCCGAGGTCTTAAATCCCTGGGAGTCCGGGATCTGAATTACAAACTAGCATTTCTAGCTTGCAGCATCTCTGCAACCAGTCTTCGGGTAAGTAAAATTCTTATTAGGGTGGAGAGCCAAAATTCAGAAAATTTTTCATTATTTTCATGAATTTATAATTTGAATTAAACAAAATAAAATTAGTAACAAAGTTATTAAGGTAGTTAGGTCGCAATCCATAGTTAAATTAAAATTTTTTTTTCTCTTGCAAGGGATTAATCAAAAATGCAAAAAAAAAAAAATACTAAGGTAAAGTACCCAGTAGTTGAACAGGTTTCAAAGTAAAATGTATTTGACCCTACTTTTATTTTATTTATTTATTTATTTTTCAAAATTTTTAGACCCTGAAGCCTTAGCTCCCTAAGGGCCTTACATATATATTAATACATAATAATAATAATAATAATAATAATAATAATAATAATAATAAAAGTTATGAACATTAATGGAAATGATAATAATATAGTAAGAATAAATAGCGTTGTCGCGAAGCAAAGTCCATCAGAGTAATTAATTTAATGACTCTAGATTATAAAACTGAAGAGATGAAAAAATATAAGTTTGAATTTAAATATGAATATAAATATAAATATAAATAATTCGTAATTTGAACAATAATGCAATGATAATTATGTAACGTCTTTATCCACAAAAAACTTGTAGCACTTTGACCGAAATTCATTGTAATCAGCAATTGTCACAATCTCCTCCGGTAACTGGTTCCACGTCCTGACTGCCGTGACAATAAATGAGTTGTCGAATGTTGTGGTTCGAGCAAATTTTAATATATAAAGATGTAATTATTAGTTCAAATTAGTGATTTTCATGAAAATATAAACAATTTTGAATTGATTGAAGTGCAAAATAACACAAATAATTCAATATTTATAATTTGACAACGTTTTTAAGATAAACTATGAAAGGAGTAGTAGTTGAACAATCAATTCTGATAAGCCGCAGTAGTTGAACACTCCGGGAGCAGTAATTGAACTAATAAAATATATGGCAATGGGCACACCAAAAATTTTTAACGTTTTATTGAAATATTCAAAGATTTATAGCATATTATTGAATAATATTAAAAATAATACTGTGGATATTTAATATGTTGATTTAAAAATGAGAAACATTTGTATTTGATTTTTTAATTACATTTTTTATGAATGACATAGTAAATTTTCAATTATAAATTAAAAAAACTCAATTCAAAACGTTCAATAATTTTTAACTATACTAATTTTTAGTTATAAAACTTATTTAATTTGCAGTAATTAATACAAATCACAAAACTGATCATTAGTCTATAAACCTATTAAAGGTTAGAATGCTGTTAAAATTATATGGTCCCAGCTTGTTCAAGTTCTGGGTACCGCTTTGAAAATTGGGAGGTATAGTTGAACGCTAAAATTTAATATAAAAATTATAGTTTATGTCTTTGCAAAAAATATGTATTATTTAGAAAAGACTATTTCATTGGGTGGTACAATTTTTTTCACTTAAAATGATGATATACCGTTTTTTTTTACTGATTGTTCGGTTTACGGTTTAGTACCTTTTTCATGAAAAAAGTAGCATCAATCGGTTATTCTCGACATGTCAACTTTAAAGTTAACAAAAATGTAATTGTTTTGATATATAATTGAAAAAACTTACCAAAATCAATTACTTTATCATTGAATAATTATAACATGCGCATATTACTCATAATATATATACAGATATATACAGATTTTGTATTACAACAATTCTAAAAGTCTGTTCAACTACTGGTCCCATTTTTAAAAGTGTTCAAGTACTGGGTACTTTACCTTATTTAGATAAAAACTCATATACTTTTGCGGCGCGTATAATCTCTAATTTTTTTGGGAATATTGTACCATGACTACTTTAAACATCAGTAAGGTTAAAAAAATCTGATTTTTTTTCATAAGTTCCATCCACATAGTCTTCCAAATAGATAAAATAAAATTTGGTCAAATTTAGCTACTAAACTACCTATTTCTTCAATCAATCTCCACCCTGGCAACTAATTAAAAACTAACTAACCAAAACAAAATTTAAAGTTCGGTGGCACTGAAATGGCCATGGAGGACATTTCTCCAGAAATGATGAAGCGTCAGATGACCGAAACCGAGTGGAACAAAGTCTACGAAATGTCCCGAGACAAGAATTTATACCAAAACCTAATGTCATCCCTATTCCCTTCAATCCACGGCAACGACGAAGTGAAAAAAGGCGTTACCCTGATGCTCTTCGGCGGAGTCGCTAAGACAACCTTGGAAGGAACAACCCTTCGTGGTGACATAAACTGCTGCATCGTCGGAGACCCTAGTACCGCAAAATCCCAGCTTCTGAAGCAAGTAACCGACATTTCTCCCCGAGCTGTCTACACTTCTGGAAAAGCCTCCAGTGCAGCTGGTCTGACCGCTGCAGTGGTCCGGGACGAAGAGTCAGCTGATTTCGTGATCGAGGCAGGAGCCCTGATGCTTGCGGACAACGGGATCTGCTGCATCGACGAGTTCGACAAGATGGACCCCAAGGACCAGGTGGCGATCCACGAAGCCATGGAGCAGCAGACTATCTCAATCGCCAAGGCTGGAGTTCGCGCCACCTTGAACGCCCGGACTTCAATTTTGGCTGCTGCTAACCCCATTGGAGGCCGCTACGATCGCTCCAAGTCTCTGCAACAGAACGTCCAGCTGACTGCTCCGATCATGTCCAGGTTCGACCTGTTCTTCATTTTAGTCGACGAGTGCAACGAGATTGTCGACAATGCCATCGCCAAGAAAATCGTTGACCTTCATAGCAACAACGTCGTCACCATAGACATGATCTACACCCAGGCGGAGATCATCAGGTACATCAATTTTGCAAAGCACTTCAAGCCAACCTTGACTGTAGAAGCCGCTGAGCTACTGGTTGAAAGTTACACGACTCTCCGCCAGAGGGAGGGAGTCGGAAGTTCCAAGTCAACATGGCGCATCACTGTCCGTCAGCTGGAGAGCTTGGTTCGTCTTTCTGAAGCACTGGCTAAGCTTGAGTGCGCTGATAAGGTTACGGTTAAACACGTCCAGGAGGCCAGGAGGCTGCTCAGCAAAAGTATTGTTAGGGTAGAGCAACCTGACATTGATCTGGATGAAGATACTCCCGAAGAAGGCATGGATCTTGATGAAGCTCCTCCGCTTATGGAAGCTCTCAATGAAATGGACGCTCAACAAAATGGCGGAGAGCACACTCAAAATGGCGAACACACTCAAAATGGCGGAGAGCCCAAGAAGAAACTTACCATGTCGTTTGAGGAGTATAAGAATCTGTCTAATATGTTGGTGCTTTATATGAGGAATGAGGAAGAAAGCTCGGAGGTGGAAGGAAAGGAAGGCATTAGGAAGACTGAGTTGGTCGCTTGGTATCTTGATAAGATTCAAGATCAGATTGACTCGGAGGAAGAGTTGCTTGAAAGGAAGTCTTTGGTTGAGAAGATTATTGACAGGCTTATTTATCATGATCAGATTATTATTCCGTTGACTACTGGATCTCTGGGAGGTCAAGATGAAGAGGAAGATCCTATGCTGGTTGTTCATCCTAATTATGTTGTAGATGCGTAGATTAATAAATGAGTTTTTGTAAATTTTAAGAGTTTTTTTTTTTATTTGTGTCTACAGAATATTCTGACAATTTTTTAACTTAATCTAACAAAATATTGTTGAATAATACACGAGATAATTTTTTTTTAATGTAAAATAATTTTGAATAAATTTTAAATATTTTTAATTCTACGCTTTTTAATTATTAATGTAATTTACAAATAATTTTTATTAAAATTTATTTTTACATTTATTAAATTATTTTATTCAATATACTTTATTATTATAAAAAAATCGCCGTTAATTTTAAATGACAAAAAAATAGATAAGTTTTTTGATATCTCTGTAAGATGGCGGTGCGCACCGGATATAGTACTACGTCACTACCCCGCCAAAATTCAAATTTAAAAAAATAACTTTTATTTAAAAATGACCTAAACGAATAAATTATTTAAATATTTTTTTTTTTAATTTGTTTTTAAGGAGATCCAAGTACCTTTCTAGTGTAAAAAATGTCTATAAAAAAATAATACGTAGAAATAGTCTTGTGCATCTTAAAATTAATTTTGCACGCCTCATAGCGCGAAGCGCGCGATATCCCAGATTATACTCAGTGATATCTGTGGTGAAAAAAAATTTCAGATTGTAGCTAAAAAAATCTAGATTATACTGTGTAACATCTGGATTATACTCATTGTAATTTGGATTATACTAGCTACTATCTAAAATTTTTTTTCACTCAGTATAATCTGGGATGATATCCAGTGTCATCTTGTTCTTTCCGTGCAAATTGAATTTACAAATTTTCAGGAAGTTTTAAAAAAAAGTATTTGACTATACTTCGCATGAATCTCTTTAAAAATGAACTAAATGAATAAATTATTTAAAATTTTTTTTTTATTTGTTCCTAATAACTTTCACTAAAATTTGAAGAGAAAATAAAATTAAAAAACTTATAATTAGTTTATTGGTTAATTATTTTTTTCTTTTAAACAATAAGTTTAATATTAACTAATAAAATATATTAATTAATGATCATGATAAAATACAATAGGGTAAATGCACCAATTATTGACCGATTAAGGTTTTCTTTTACTGTACTAAGCTATAAAAAATCTATTAACCTACTAAAAACAATTTGTAATGGATTTTATTAAAGTTAAATACTTAATTAATAATAATTAATAACTATTTATAATAAAAATTGACAAAATTATATTAATTTTGTTATTTGAATGTTGAAATACTAAAATCACCAATTATTGACCGAAGAAACCCAATAAATGACCGACCGTTCTCCAATTAATTCACCGCTCAAATAATTATAAGTAATTTTGTAAACTACATGTATGTAATTAAATTTATGCAGTACTTTCGAAGCATTAACGACATCTTTAACAAAACTAAACATACAATATAATTTTAAATCGTACTTTTTTATAAAATAATATAAATAATAGCAATAATTAACATAAAGTCACATTTATTTAGGTCACAAATAATCACAAATTCATTTTGATGACGATAATTCTTCTGATTCACTTGAAATTTTTTTATTCTTCTCCTTGTTTTTTTCAATTAAAGCTTTTTTACTAGCTTGTAACTCTTTTTTATTTTTTTAATTGCTTAGCAATTTTTTCTTCTAATAATTCGTTCTTTGATATAACCGTTCACTAAAAAAATTACATCAAAATAAAATTTAATAATCAAAAAAGATTTTAAGTATTATTTTAATTATAAATATACTCTTTTATAATGATTATTTTTATATTTACAAAACATTGAATGACTAAAGTACTTTAAACACTTGACAGATTTAATTTTGAGGTTTAGAAGTTAGTATTATAAATATACGGTCATTAATTGGATTGTGATAAAATCAGAGGGTCTAATAAATAACCGAATGAATTTTTTACTGGGTAAAGGGCTTCTGACGGATCCAATAGTTGACCGATCTTAAAATAATATTGAAACTTATAATTTAACTTTATTTTTTCAAAAAAGTTGGAATCTGATTTTTAATTAACATAATAAAACTAAAATATTTGATATTGTGCCGATAAATATCACTAAATTAATAATGAAATGTACTCACTCTCCAATTGTACGGTAGTTATTTTTGACCGCTTTATGGCTGGTTGCGTTGTAAACAAACTCAGAATATTTTTTTAAAGCTATAATCACTGCGCAATTAATTGCGTAATTTTTTATTATGATGATTAAATGCCATATTTTTTTATTTTAATACTTTAAGAAAAAAAAAACCCTTGTAAAATATTAATTAATTAACTTTTTTATACATCGGTCAACTAATTGGTGACCGGTCAACAACTGGTGCATTTACCCTAAATATATTAAAGTCACGAAATTAAAAAAACAAATAATATATTACAAATAATAATGACATAAATATTACAAATTTATAAAGTCTTTAAACATATAAAATTGAATTAAATATAAATATTAACCAATCGATAAATTTTTGTTCGATAGCTGTGTCGTTGACTTCTTCTTTTTCTTTTCTTCAGCGTCTTCTAGTTTTAAGGATTCATAGAGATCAGCGACTCGCTTGTAAAGAGTTCTTCTTTTTTCCATCAAAAAAAATTCTCTGCCAGGTATCAGTAACTCGAGTTCTTCGGAAAGCAAACTTCCGTCGACGCTGTCTCCGTTGTTCTGATAAAATGATCCCGCGAAATCATGGTCGCGGGAACATCCAGGCAGAGGTTCTTGGGCGCTTTGAAGAGCTTCTGAAGAGTTCTCTTTCAAGGAAGAAACTTCAACGGATGTGGCATCTATCATGCATATTTTTTGACGTTTTCGACTCATTTTGAATTAATGATGGTATTCTGAAGACAAAATAATTATTGTTAATTATATTATAATGAAGAAATTGATTTATGTGAGTGAATTTTTTTAATGAAGAAATATAAAGAAAAATATAATGTGAGTTGGTTGTAGAAAATTGGATGAATTATTTCATACTATTACATACATTTTTTTATGTTTTCCTCTATAATTTTATATAATTATAATTATATCACACAAGAAATACAAAATGGCGTATTATAGCAGTTAGATAAAATTTTTTGTCAAAAAAGCGAAAATAATTTTTTTTTTAATTTTGTCTAATGTTTCAAAAGTTAAATTTTGGGAAAAATATAATCATCATGTACAAAGTTACACAGGAGATAAATTTTTTAAATTAGTTGTCAGGAGAATTGAATACTTATTGAAGCTAATTAAAATTTATTCAAGCGTAACATTCTGGAGGTCACAATTTTTATATTAAATCAATTATTAAAAAACTTTGGTTCTTATTTACAGTTGGGGTCAACCCCATGACTAGATGAAAAATTAATATTTTTTATTTTGCTTGTTTTTACGGCGAATTTATGATAAAAATTTTTTTGAAAGGAAAAAATAAAAATTTCGATAATTTTTTTGCCTTGAAAAGTTGGAAAAAAAATTGGTTTTCATGTTTTTGGATAAAATTTCTACTTTGTCTTTTTTTGATATTTTTGACATATGTGGATAAAAAAAATAACCAATTAAAAAAAAAAAATTGATCAATTGATAAAAAGAAGAAAAAAAAATTTAACATGGCCCAGTATGGGTTGGCTCCACTTGTAAATAATTACCAAACTTTTTTTTAAGGGTCTCTTCTATTTGAACTTGAATTTTTACAAAAATATTGAATATTTATATATTTTTTAAAGAATGTGAAAATTAAGAACAATTTTTTTGTAATAAAAAAATAGTAAAAATAAAGATATTGTTTAGAATTGAAATTCAAATTAAGCGTTTTGTATTAAAATTTTTTAAATATATTTTTAAATAGGGTCCTGTAAATCCTTAAAACTAGAAGACGCTGAAGAAAAGAAAAAGAAGAAGTCAACGACACAGCTATCGAACAAAAATTTATCGATTGGTTAATATTTATATTTAATTCAATTTTATATGTTTAAAGACTTTATAAATTTGTAATATTTATGTCATTATTATTTGTAATATATTATTTGTTTTTTTAATTTCGTGACTTTAATATATTTAGGGTAAATGCACCAGTTGTTGACCGGTCACCAATTAGTTGACCGATGTATAAAAAAGTTAATTAATTAATATTTTACAAGGGTTTTTTTTTTCTTAAAGTATTAAAATAAAAAAATATGGCATTTAATCATCATAAT